ACTCAAAATTAGGTAGCTAAGGAGAAGAGAGTGGATAAAGGAGGAAGGGGAGGAGTTGGGGGAGGGGATGAATATGATCAAAGTACATTTTATAATATAAAGTTAAAGAACTATACAATGGAATATTGCTTAGCCATTTAAAGGACTGGTAATAATAAACTTTTTCTTACTATAATGAAATGCTCTAGGCTGTGTAGCCCTATGGAAAATCAGATGGATTTAATTTAGACCTGGAAGCTTTAAATCTAAGTAGCACATCCCTAGCTCTAGAGAAGGGAAGCCTTCTTGCCGAAAGAGTGCTGAGACAGTGCAGGGCATCACGTGGCAAGAGATGGAGCACACATCTGTGTCTGCGTATGTGTTCTATATGTTGTCGGTCTCTTTCCCTCTCCGCTGTCCTCCTCTTCTCTCTCACCTAATTTTCTGTTTCTCCCTATGTTCCAATGACCCTCACTGGTAATCATTAGAGCTTTCCCCTAATGGTTTTGTCTAGCCCTGATCACCTCCCAAAGACCCTACCTCCAAACATACTTGAATTGAGCTTCCATATTTTGCATCTCACAAGGGGGATTAGATTTTTACATGTAAATTATTGGGGTGCATACGCAAACCGTATCAATACCCGAGAGACAGTAATATACTGATACACGTTGGATAAATGTTGGAAACTCGCTAAACAAAAGAGATCAGTTATGAAAAGCCAGGCTTATTATCCCAGCTGCTCCACAGTCTGAAGCAGAGAATTGCCGTTGATGGACATGTATACATCATTTTTAAAAGAGGTCGTCACAAATGAGTGCATACACACTGTACAGAAGCCACAGTTTTGATTCTTATTCTTGCCTATCATGGTGTCTTAAACAGAGTCAAAAACATGGTAATGAATGTTCAAAAAGTAAAATATTCTAATTTCAGTATAGTGTTCTGCATGTTTGTGAGTCAAGTCCCAGTCAGACAGAGAGAAGTACTGCAGGAAGCATTTTGAAGGAGCAGAAGGATGGTTTGTGTGATTGTGTCAGAAAATGTAAAAGACTTAGAAGATAATTTAAAATATAAAGTAACAACAGATAATATGTCAAAAAGAGAAAATGAGAAGAAAATAATGTTGTTGAATTCCAAGCATATAAAACCTACAATTAATCGTTACCTAAGCAGCGGGTATAGGTTTCATATTAGAATTGATTCCTAGAGGGAAGAACCAGAGTTTCTGGAGAAATATAGAATAAATAACAGAACTCCATAGTTATACTTTTGTTGGCGTTTTTTTTTTTTTCTGTGTAGCCCTGGCTGTCCTGGAACTCACTCTGTAGACCAGGCTGGCCTTAAACTCAGAGATCCACCTGCCTTTGCCTCTGGGGTGCTGGGGTTAAAGACATGGGCCACCACTACCTGGCATGGTAATCCTATTTTGATTTCCACTTACATGAAAGTTTTGTTCCTGTTTCTACCACAATTAAGTGCTCTCTGTCAAGGAGGTTCTAATTCTGTACTCAAGTAGGATGTGCACACGTGTACATTCTTATTCCATAGATGGTAATGCATGTTGTAAAAGAATGTTAAAATTGTTTCAAGCGGTTCTGGGGAGATGGCTCAGTTGATAAAGTGCTTATTACGCAAGCGCAAAGCTCCAGGTTCCATCCACAGCACCCACATAACAAACCAGATTCAGTAGTGCATGCTTGTAATCCCGTCACTGGGGAAACAGAGACAGAAGAGTCCCTGGGGACCCGCTCTCCAGCTAACCTTGCTTGGAACCTTGCCTGGTCACAAGCTCCGAGCCGCGGTGAAAGACCCTGTCTCAAAAAACAAGGTAGATGAGTCATCAAGAACTACACCCGATGCTGACGGCCTGCCTTCACATACAGTATGCATGTGCATACATACACACAGTATTACAGAAAGTCAAAGTACCACGCAAGCAGGATTTAAATGTGTAATGGTGGAAAAGAGAAGGTTGTTGTGGCCAAATGGATCACGATAAGAAATCACCCAGCAATTCAGTTTGTCTGGTGTTTGTCTAGTAATGGAAGATAAAGCTAGGGCCAAATTATATACCCCAGCTCTGCCACATAGCAGCTGCAGTCAATTACTGCCTTTTCCTGACTGTCCCTTAAAGCAGTTAAGATAATATTCCCGCCTGCCTTTCAATTGAGAGAATCAGATAAGGCTTAACACACTTCCTAGCATAGAGGTTCCTTGTATTTTGGCATGGGAAGGTTTGTGTCCAGTTAAGACATTTAGACTTTTATGTTAGAGGCAGCAACACATAAAACTTTTTTTTTTTAAAAAAAAAGGAATTAAATACGTTGAAGTCAGGCTTTAGGAGATTACCATAGTGAATAGCTGGAGGGGAAACAGGTCATAGGAAGCCACTGCAGTCATCCAGAAAGGTAATGGTAGCCTAACCAGCATGTGTGTAAGTCACCACATAAAACTGTAAAGAATGTCACCAATTTGATGATGTTAACACCAGTAAGAAACAGGAAGAAGAAACATGTTTGAAGGAGCGTGTCAAGAGTCAGTTTTATACACACCGAGCTGGAGATACCATTGGTACCTCCAGGAAAAAAAGATGTACTAAGCAGTTCTAAAGTCAGTTTGGGGGTTAGGATTTAGGAGAATGTGGGGGGTGTGCCCTCCCATAGGTTGGAGCCAACAAATTCCTAAGAGGAAAGATCATATTCAAATCGGAAATTGTTATGAACAGAACCCTTAGAGTTGGGCAAATGAAGATCAGGCAAATAATACAACTTTATTTACCTTTCACAAAACTTGTTTTTGTCTTTGTACTTTTTTTTAGGATAGCTCCAGTGTGTAGCCCTCCCTGACAGGCCTGTAGCCCAGGCTGGCTTCAAAGTTACATCAGTCTTCCTGCGTTAGCTCCCTAAGTGCCGAGATTACAGGCATGCACCACTGTGCTCAGCGTTTCTTTCTGTGTAGTATTGTACAAACTGCTGAGAGGGTAACACCAGAGCTGTTGAGATGGCAGGCCCGTTTGGATTCCGAGAAATTCATAGAGTGTTCTCAGAGGTTAAGATTGAGAGGTCTCTCAATTGTCCTCCAAAGCCACAGAGACATGGGTGGCCTTGAGGTCCTCTGAGGAGGCTAATTACGTGCCTGACCCTGTCTCACCCAAAGTTCAACAGCTGATTTTTTACTTTGGCATCTCTTGGTCCCCTGGAGAGGGGCAATTACAAGAAGGGAAATGGCTTTCCAATCCTTCTGCCTATTGAAAATCACTATCGATTTCTCTGGACCGACTGTTTTGATAGATTCTTTGCCCATTAGTGTAGTTGTTTGGGGGCCTGCCACTCAGCTCCCACATAAATCACACACGGGGGCCTATTCTTTCTATGAATGTCTGGTCTTATCTTGGCTTATTTCTAGCCAGATTTCCTTAACTTAAATTATCCCATCTACCTTTTACCTCTGGACTTTTTCCTTTTCTTACTTCTGTATATCTTTCTTTCACTCTTACACTGTGGCTGGCTGTGTAGCTCGGGGACTAGCCCCAAGTGTCCTCTCTCCTTCTTTTCTTGCTCCTTCCTCTCTTTTGCTACTATTTCTCTTTTTTCTCCTTCTATTTATTCTCTCTGCCTGCCAGCCCCGCTTATCCTTTCTCCTGCCTTGCTATTGGCCACTCAGCTCTTTATTAGATAAATCAAGCATTCTAGACAGGCAAAGTAACCCAGTTTCACAGACTTAAACAAATGCAACGGAAAAGAATAAAACACATCTTTGCATCATTAAGCAATTGTTCCACAGCATAAATGAATGTAATACATCTTAAATTAATATTCCACAACACATTAGTGCTTGTAGGAGCCAGAAAAGGAAGGTGACTTGAGGCCATGAATCCTGGATTTCCCTGAAGAACAAAGGGAGCTCCAGTTTGGGCCTGACCAAGTGAAGGTGTTGGTCATAATGGGAAAATAACTTGATCTGATTGGTTTACTTTCTTTGTTTCTAACCAGGGCCTTGTGTTTTAATTAACTTTTACAAGGGAATAGTGGGCAATAGACATAATCCACTTGGCTGGCAAGAAATTGTGTGCAGTACTATTGCAATATAAAAGCATGCTAAGTCTTTGATACTGGAGGGTTTGTGATACTTTAAAATTAACGAGCTGGCTTTATTCTCTGCATACACCGTTAGGCTTTTTAAATGACCTTTTATTCCATCTGTGTTAAGAGATTCTGTGTGTGTGTGTGTGTGTGTGTGTGTGTGTGTGTGTGTGTGTGTGTGTGTGTTTAGTTTTTGTTTGTCTTCCTCTATTTGCTTTTAGGAAGCTTGACAGTTAGGGTGGTTTAAAATTCATTTTGAAAACATTCTACCAAGGTCAGTCCCCTCCTGTTTTGTTCTAACAGGGCTATTTTATGCTACCCCTTAAAACCGATCAACTTTCTCTGTTAGCACCAGCTGTCAATTCACCCAGTTGCACGAGTGAAGGGATTGAGGCTTGGGGAGGGGGCTGAGTTGTTGTACTACTTAATGTAACAAAATGTGTTAGATCCGGTAACTTGACAAAAAACAAAATGTTTGTTCAGCTCACAGGACTAGAGATTCAAGGGCACGGTGTGTGCTGCTTTTTCATCTTGGCTCTGGTGAGAGCCTTATGGTGGGTGGATCACAATATCAGGGTTGTGTGCAAGAGAAAGCCATTCCATCTTTTACAGCATCTGATTTTCCTGAGAACTAACTCAGGGTCCCACGAGTTCTGCCTAAATCCCTTCTGAGGATAGTACAATGCTCTCCCCCCACCACAGCCTATGACCTAACAATCTCCACAAGGGACTTCCTAGTAAAAGTCCCACGTTATCTGTTAACATTGACACGCTAGAGACAGCATCCAGTACACTCTCCAGAAGAAAGCATATCTTGGCCGTGGCAATAATAGTCCTACTCTGAAAGAATATGTGCCTTGAGGAGGGGATTTGTAGAGTAAGAATATTCTTAACCTATACTGTGACAGCTTATAATTTTATTTCTTCTTTCTGCAGTAAATACAAATTGATCCTAAGTGAGGAGCCTGTGGAGAAACGAAGGAGGTTCCAAAATGATATGACACCATCTCCTATAGATTACTCCATGTCCAGTCCTTACAGGAGGGGAGAAGCCGCTGTTGCCGACCAAGGAGGGGAGAACAGCCCTGAGAAATCCAGTTCTGAGAGAAGCACACCACCATACCTCTTACCAGAATACCCAGAAGCAAACAAGAGCACAGGCCACAACAGGGAAGCTCCAGCACTTTGTCTAGGGTCCCAGGACCAAGACCAGGAGTCCCTGCTTCCTGAAGAATTAGAAGATCAGATGCCAAGATTGGTGGCAGAAGAATCTAACAGGAGTAGCGAGAACAGAGATGTGAATAAAGGGCCTTTTGTAGCGGTGGTCGGGGTTGCCAAGGGACTTGCAGATTCGGGAGCTCCCATCCAGCTAATCCCATTTAACCGGGAGGAGTTTGTAGGCAGAAGAAAGGCAGCAGCGGAACCATGGAACCCGAATCCTTATTCTTCTGTGGCCCCTGCCACAGCTACTGCAGGGAAAGGAAAAGGCTACCTGGAGAGTGGAAGTCAGAACATGCCAAAGATAAAGAACCAGAAAGAACTGGAAGAATTGAAGAGAACCACAGAAAAATTGGAGCGTGTTTTGGCTGAAAGGAATCTGTTCCAGCAAAAGGTTTGGGCAATGCCTTACCAGTAGAGATAAGAAGAGGTCATTGTAAACAAGGGACGAGGGCAGTTCTTCTCAACCTTCCTAATGCTGCAAGCTTTTAATACAGTTCCTCATGTTGTGGGAACCCCTAACTATAAAATTGTTTTATTACTTCATCACTGTAATTTTGCTATTGGTACGAATCATATTGTAAATAGTGTGTTTCTGATGGTCTTAGGTGATCCCTATGAAAGGATAATGTGAAATCCCGTTGGGTCATGACCCACAGGTTGAGAACCACTGGACTGGAGTATTGATATTTTGGTGGTTTCTTTCATACTCAGAAGCTGTTAAACAAAATATGTCATTAAACCAGTCTGTAGTATGTCTCAGATTGAGAGGACCCTAATGGGCTTCCCTTCTGTATTTTAGGTTTGACAAGAGATTTGCATAAGTATAATAAAGCATTATAAATAATAGAACCACAGGATAGATTTAGTAGAAATGGTTCAGGATACTCTAACTTTTGGTTGTATGGATCACTGACTTTGTCTTTCTTGGACTGCAGGTAGAGGAGCTGGAACAGGAGAAGAATCACTGGCATTCTGAATTTAAGAAAGCACAACATGAATTGGTGACCTATAGTACCCAGGAGACTGAAGGCTTATACTGGAGCAAGAAGCACATGGGTTATCGCCAAGCTGAATTCCAGATTCTGAAAGCTGAGCTAGAAAGAACCAAAGAGGAGAAGCAAGAACTAAAAGAGAAACTGAAAGAGACAGAGACACACCTGGAAGTACTGCAGAAGGCCCAGGTCTCCTACCGGAACCCAGAGGGAGATGACCTAGAAAGGTTAATTACTAGGGTTTAGTTTTCACCTTGTGAGTACTAATGGGAGTTACCTGCTAAGACCCCCAGTTTACTGGTCATAGACAGGGGAGAAAGTCTTAATTCATTGACCACCATCGATTGAGTAATTATTCCTTAGAAAGCCGCAGCCAGTCTCCCTGTGTTTAATGGCATGGCTCTGTCTGCCTTCTTCCTGCCTAATGGAGACCTAATTGTTAAGACCTATAGGCCCATTGTGAAGGGACTTCGTTTTATTCTGTTGGCTAATGACTTCCTGTCATCTCTTCTCCTGCCCCCTCACTCCAACATACAGGGCTTTGGCAAAGCTTACGCGGCTCCGTATCCACGTCAGCTATCTCCTTACTTCTGTCCTCCCTCACTTGGAGCTTCGTGAGATCGGGTATGACTCAGAGCAAGTGGATGGGATCCTGTACACAGTGCTGGAGGCCAATCACATACTGGATTGAGCAGCAGACTATATATCCTGTCCTAGCTGTCTTTTCTCTTTTCTGTCTGTGTACTATATGCACCCCCCCCCAGCTTCTTCTTCCCTTCTCCCTTCTTATCCCTCCCCCAGCCTCTTTCTTTCCCTTTCACCTTTATGCCTTATATTTAAAGTCTTTGAATAAGTCCTGGTTCTTTATCAGTGTACTTCGCATTCAGTGTGAGCGTGAAGAAAGAGGCCCATTAAATAGCCTTTTAAGAGTCCAGGAACAGAAAAGCAATAGTCGCCAATTTAGGTGACTGGAAAGCACTAATTTTCATGATCTAGATACGTGGCCTATTTCGTGTTCTGCTAATGGTTCGTCTTCATTTAGGTTAAACCAGGCAGCAAATGTTGGGTCCAATGCACCTGGTGGGAAAAGTCATGCTGCCAGCCCTGCCAGGGTTCTAACAGTCTAGCTGGAAGCACAAGTCCCAGCAAGTTAACTAACTATACAAAGAAGGGTTTGGTGTGCCTGAGTGGTCTAAGCGTGGCCTGGAAGGCAGAGGCGAGCAACTTAAAGGCAGGCAGCACATCGTAAGTGGGACCTAATGAAGGTTAAAGAGTGAGCATGGCAACGCTCTTAATGACGGTTGTTGCTTAAGTGGTAGGATTATGGTTGATAGTTTTTCTTCTTCCTATCTTCTTGCCCTTTTCAAATTTTCTATTACATTCTTGTTGTTCTTCTTACGTTGGAAAATAAATTGTTTTGAAAGCTAACAAGTAGGCTTGAGTTTGGGTGTCAAATGAGACATTTATGAAAGTCTGAAGTCATTTTACATGTATAATTTCTGTTGAGTTTAACACTACCTCTGGAGAGACAGCATAAACACATGTACAAAAATCCGGAATGTGAAAAATGTGTTTGGTAAGAATGATAGGTTAGCGTAAAAGGAACCTACCAACCGACTCACCAATTCTCCATGGTATTATTATTTTAATAACAGATATGTGAAAATGAATATATAAGGATCACATTTTTATGTATCACTACATTGTTAAATTTCAGGTATCAAATAATATTTTAGATTAGAAAGATTTAGTTGCCATCCCTTGTAGTGCAACTGCATGATTTCTAGGCTATACAGAGTGATATTCATGAAAAGAAGGTATTTTATGAATCCATTGCTTTATTGTGTTTATGTAGTATATGGTCTGCAAATACTTCTGAAAGGTCGCTGAACAGTGAATGGTATAATATATAATATATATATAACATATTATATATATAATACTATACATATATGTATATAAGTATATACACATATATGTATGTATATATACATACACACATACACCTATGTATGTGTGTGTGTGCACTGAAAACTAGGATGGAGAGGATAGGAATAATAAAAGGAAGACATAAGAATAATAAGAGGATAGGAATAACAAAAGGAAGACAGGATCCACCAGCAGTAAAAGGATTCCCTAGTATAAACAAAGCACTTTGGATAGTCATTGTGTTTTCCTCAGTGGATTTGCTTCAGAGGACTGTCCCAGGGATACCTTACCTCCTTTGAAGGGAGGCCCATCATAAATAGATGTTCCTGGGAGTCTGTGGACAATATGATGAGTCCATAGCCAGGCTTCCCCATTAGAATGGTACTCAAACACACCACTGCTCCTATCACTCTACCTCACCGCAGCTCTCGCAGGCTGTGTCATTAACTTCCGTTCCGACATTTGCATCAGTATATCTAAGACCTCGGTTGTCTCAATGGGCTTATTAACAAGAGAAGGATCACATGCAATTATTTTCTCAGTGATACTTGTTTGTCAGGTGGGGATGGGGAAGGGTGGGGTTTAGCACAAATCCGAATACTATGAATTGGAGCCCAGGCTAGGAGGAATTTCAGTGAATGGAAAGTTCCAGCCTGTGTTGGATAAGTGGGGGGAGGCAGATAACGGAGCTCTAGAGGGGAAAGATTGAAAACTTAACTCATCTTTACCAGTGCTTCCTGTCTGTACAAACTCCCTGATTTGTGTCCTGTCCGCCCATGGCTTTGAACTCACACTGCTTATTCCAGCGGCACTCGCCTGTGTTAGTCTATCTGCTTCAGCAGCAAGCAGAGCCTTTGCTTTCTTACCTAGTTAACCTTGACGCCATACAGACGCTTATGGTAAAATTCAAACCTCTTACAAATGTCCCACAAGACCCCCTACCTGTGTGTCAGCAGCCTTCCATGGTGTTTCCTACTGGAAACACGCACACTGTCAACTAACCTCAGAGGCTACTCTGGTACTCTGCCCTCTGATACATTCTGTGACCTCACTGCAATGAAAGGATTCTCTAGTTCCAGACAAAACACTTTGAAACACTATGTTAGCATCATAGATAAATAGTCCTGTACGCCTTGAACTTGTGTTAAATACTATTGTGGAAAGACTGGAGTGTTGCCCATCCTTACCAGAAGCCATGGTCTAGTATGAAAACAGGTACTAAAAATAAAGAAAACAGAGGTGCCTCCCCTTGGCTTTCCTCTGAGGTTAACATAAATCTCCTTACAAATATTTCTCTTTACTTGTCAGTTAGCATGTAGGTGTTTATTATCTCACTTCTTGACAATTGAAATCGATTCTTAGTTGGCCTCCCTCATCGCCTATTCCCATTCCTCAATATGCACTTCTTAATATCACTAAATAGCACTAAATCTTATCAGGTCATGTCTCTGAACAAAGACTGACTATTACTCACTCTTGCCCACAAAATGTTACACAAATTCTTCAGCATGGTTCTCAAGCCCCATGTTGTCTGGGGTACCCTCTTCTGTACACCCATCTTCCAACAAGCCAAACACAAAGCTCTCTTCCACCCACGCTGAGCTTCTTTTCAATTCCTAAATGCTCCTTCGGATTTTTGTTCTCTGCCTTTCCTAGTCCACTCCGGGAATGGTCTCCTTAATCATCTTTCCTTTGGTTCTAATGCCAACTTATTTGTGAAGATTCCTGCAGCCCAGGAAGGCATGAAATTTTTCTTTGGATGTGTTAAGCCTTGTGCCACTTGTAAGACTCGTGTCATAAGCTTCCCTATCCGACTCTCCCTATTAGAAAGCTCCAGATTGATATTCAACTGCCTACTTGACATTTACACTTACATAGCTCACAGACGTTTCAAGTAAATCCTGCTAAGAATAAACAGCGCCATACCCCATGGCTTCTCCTCCCCCACAGTTCTTCATGTTCGGAAATGGCACCTCCTCCCACCCAGTTGCTTAAGCTAGAAACCTGGAAGTCATCCTTAATTCCTCTTCTCATTCCCTGCATCCAGTCTGTCAACATGTCTGTTGTCTCTATTTCCAGTGCATAATCTTGACTCCACTCGCTTTTCCCACAGCAGCTAAGAGTTTAGTCTAAACTCCCCGTCATTCCTTCGCTTGGATCACAAGGACTAACTAGAGACCGTGGGTCCTCTCTTGTGCTCACAATTGTCCTATCATTAGAAAGAGCGTGTTTTTAAAAAAGAAAGTGCTTAAGGCAATAAGTCACTTCTCATTCACTTCCCATTTCATTTAGAGTAAAATCAACCCCCATCACAATGTCCTACAAGACCCCTGCTTACCTCTTAGGTTGGTCTCAGTGATCTTTCATCACTTACCTCTTTACATACCCCCTCCCGACATCCCACGCCCCGCGGCGCCCGGGCGGGGGGCCCCCCCCCGGACACTTGGCTTCCACCTGAAACATACCAAGCTCTCGCTTAAGCTCAGAGCCCTCATCTAGATTTTTCCTTCTCCTGAGATGTTCTCTCCCCATTTTGTCCAACTGGTTTGCTGTTTCCAGTCTTGCCATGGTTCACTCTTCTTGCTTCTGTCTTCTTCCTAGATATGCCTTGCATTTTTCTCTATTTCTACCATATTATCTTCCCACAGTTTCCTTGTTTGTTTCCAGTTCATAGCAAGCTTATATACTTAGCCATTTTCATTCATTCAACAAACATTCGAGCACCTACTATGTGCTGAGTGATACCCACTGGTGAATATAACACACATTGTTCTTATGTACCTGTTTCAGTAAGTTCTAGAAGGCCATACCTGGTTTGCTAACCACTGTATCCCTACTCCCTATCCTGATACCTGGGATTTAGTAAATAAGCAATGAATGACTGTTAATGAATGGTTTAATGAAAGAATTGCATTTTCTTCATATCTGCACCTCTGATCTAAAACAGTTTCCCATTCATTGAGGAGGCCATATCAATCAGTATGAGTGGGGTAGATAACAATCCCGGGCATTAGCCTCTTAAAATGAAAGACTAACACAGTAGGTGTTTCAGGCTATAGGAGTGGGGTTGTTGTGAGCAGCCTGGTGTTTCTCTTTAGTGACTCTTCAGTATGAATAATTCAACTGTGAAAAAGAAAAGGGAGATGGGCGGTCTTTACACAAACAATCTGAATAAATACTGAGAAGTACAAAATTTAACCAGGAGACTACTGTACAGACCAGATCTTGCGAGTAAGAACTAAACAGAAAAAAAATTCTAAGAATTACTCTTCAGTCTTTTCAAGTGATGGTGGTTCATTTCAGCTGTTTAAAAAAAAAAAGCTAAGAATAGAGCAGGCTTCAAGAAGCGAGTTCCATGTGTGTTATTGTATGAACAATGAGCACCTGGAGGCTAACCAGACCAGTGAGCCTGTGGCACCAGAGTTCAGGAAGGTTTGTTTGCCCTGCTTACACGTTGTCTAACCGAACAGTTTAGAGGAAGAGGCTGCGTTCTTAGTTCCCAGGGCAATCTCGAGACAAAACATGTTTCAGAAGCCTGTGCTGTGAACTGAAGCCCCTTCCTGTGGCACTACATTAGGAGTGAAATATAACAGTCTTCTCAAGGATTCTCTGTGTAAGGTCAGGCTAAGGCACGTACGATTTCCCCTAAAGACTGGCATATTTCATGAGGACCACCCTACCTCATGATTTCTATCAGGAACCATGAGCTCTGATTCAGAAGTCAGCGTGGGTTGGAGAGGTGGCTCGGTAATTAAGAGAGCTTGCTGCTCTTGCAGAGGTTCAGTTCCCAGCACCCATTCCGGGGAGCTCCCAGCTGCCTACAGCTTTAGCTCCAGTCTGGCTCCACAGACAGCTGCAGGGACGTATGGCACATGCACACAAATGGAAACCAAGTGGATCTTTAAAAAAGTCAGGGTGAGCTTGTTCGTCAGCCCAGCACTCAAGAGGCTGAGGCATGAAGATCCAGAATCAAGGCCCGTGTTGGCTGCACAGTGAGAACGGGCCTCACAAATAAAGGCACATGTTCGGAGAATAAACTAAATAGTTTTAAGAACTGACCTCATAGTCTTGGGCATACAAAAAGTAGTTCATAGATGAGACATGAATAGCAATTGAATTTTTTTCATTGGCCCTGAATATTGAGGTGGGGCTTTGTGCATGCTAAATATACATGATACTAGTGAGCTATAACCCCCATCCAGTTTTGTGATGGAAAATAAAATCTAAAGACAAAATTTTTGTAACTTTTTGGTGTGAATTGCCATAAACCCCCAGCCCTCTTTTCGATAATGTAGTACAAATGCTTTGATTGCTTTCTGCATGCAAAACCCATTCCTCACATCTGCCCACTGTGTTCTGAAAGCCATAGATGATAACTTAAGAGCAGAATGAGATAAGGCGTCCAACTCCCCACATCTACTCATCCAGATGGGCCCTGAAATTCTAAAGAATTGGAAGGTACAGTATGAGGAGAGCATTTCCCAGTTTTGAGAGTAGTATAAATAATCACATTATGGTAGCAGAAATACGGGAAGATGCAGGCTAAGCACAAGGGCTAAAGTGAATATCCAGCTTAAAGTACAAAGAACTTTGGGAGGCTCTGAATTGTGGCTGTTGAAATCTCCTAAGCAATCTGTAAATTCAGGAAATTAGCCCCAGTCTGCTGTGCCCTGAGGATTGAGGTCTCCTCTATCCTCTAGCAGTGGGATAGTGAGTGCTTAGTTTTCTTCCACTACACCCTAGATTTTCTCTCTCTCTCTCTCTCTCTCTCTCTCTCTCTCTCTCTCTCTCTCTCTCT